TTTTTGAAGATTCTCTTTTATTGCATTACATAATCAATGGACATTTTAAATGGCGATGCAGACACACATTATAATTTTAAATCACAGACAATATATGCATATTAAAATTCTGTGTATTTTGATAAGGTAAAAAATAAAGCTATATAAACTGATCTTTATATATTTTTTTCTGCAAAAGTAGAATCACACTTTATAATACTTCCAACATGTCTTCATTAAAACTTTGTTGATAGACAATATCAGAATGATTCTCATTCTCATTTACCTACCCTCTACTTTAAAAAAAATGAATTAACCAACAGAAATTTTTCCTGTTTTTAAAGTTACAAATGGGAAACTTCTAAAAGAAACGTAGAACACAAGAAACTGCATACCACGGTGTTATACTGAGTTATCAAATAAATAATATTAACTTAAAGGTAAAGTAGAAGTGGTTGCTTTAGGTTATTACTAGTCAGTGCAAAAGAGGGGAACTTAGTGGTTTAAAGAAAAAGGCCAGAGAACTCCCTGTAGGTTGCACTGAACATTTGGTGATGATGCCCAGCAATTTAAGAATCGTGAGCACAGCAGGGGTGAGACATTTTTGTAGTTAAAGTTGCAAGATCTCACCAGGCCAATCTGCAGTTCTATAAACCTGTTACTGCAGAAGCAGGTTGCTTTCAGCCTCCTTCCCTAGTCCAGGCCGCCACCACCAGGTGTCACCTGGTCTGTGTTCACCCTGTTGAGTCAAATGCACAGGAGTGGGCTGATTTGGGTTCTAATAGGAATGCCAAGGGAAGGATGCTTTTTTCCTAGCTGCCCCGTGGCAGAGGACCAGCCCGCCATCCTGAACTCCTGTGAAGACGCTGCAGCTGGGAGGGTCCAGATGCCACTTTCTGCCACATGTCCTCAGGGCGAAGCTTTGGGGGGTGGGGGGAGTTGTCCTTTGGGAGGGGAGAGGTTGGACTTCCTGAAAAGGAGCTTGGGCTACCCAGCAGCTCCGCTCAAACCCAGGGGCTGCCCTGCAAAGTCTCTCTACCCACCCCCCCCACAAGAAGCCTTGTCTTCTGGGGGCTCCTCACGTGATCCCCTGAGGAAGGAGGCAGGGACGCGTGGGGCCTGGGGAACGTGTATGTGTGTTGTGTGTGTGCATGAGAACTGGCACATGTGCACATGTGTGGCTGTGAGTGGAGGTGACGCTGAGAGTGAGAGAATGTGACATGGTCGGGTCGGGACCACTCGTGCTTATAGATGACTGGCTGTTGGGCTGGAATGCGGGTTAGGAACCAGAAATTCTGACCAACATGGGAAACTATGAGTTAATGATCTACTAACATAGGCAGTCATGAATAAGAGTTTCAACACTAAGGAAAATGCTTAAAGTTACTTGCTTTAAAGTTAAAGGCAAGTAAATGCTAACTCCTGTGAGGTGAAAAGAAATAACATTAATTAATATCTGAATATCAGAGACGTATCTGAAATGTCATTTCAGTGGGGCTCTTCTCTTCCTCCCTTTGTTTCTGTCTCCTGCCCCTCGCAGGCAGAGTTCCTTCATTTCTCACACGTTTTTAGGAAACATTATGGAGCATGTACAGGCTTAGTGACTTTCACATGCGACTTCAATGATCTGAGGTAAATGGTAACCGTCTCAATACAGGTGGAAAGAAGATACCGAACCATCAAGTAAGAAGCTTCTGTTTTAAGGCGGAAAGATGGAAATTAAAAACAAAACAAAAAGCAGATGAAATTGCAATGAACTGTGAAGAACAAGCATAGCAAAATATTACACTCTGAATATGCCTTCCAACGAATCACCGCCACCAGAAACACCAAAAACGAACAGGTGTAGAGAATAAAATCAAACCTGAAAATTCACATTCATCAGATATCGAGACATTCAGCCAAAACTCTCACCAGAATTTAAAGTGGCCAAAATTTCATCAACTTAAAAAATAAAAAGCTTTAAAAACATACTTTAAAAATTAGATATGGTATGTTGACAAATAAACGAATAAGAGATATAAACAGCTATGAAAATACTTCAGTGCAAAGGCAATTTTAAGATTCCTAAAAAAATACATTACAAAGAATTTGTTAACTAAACATACACAGAATCTGTCCCCCCTACAGGTATTACATTTATACCCATATTAGGTTCTTAAAAACGGTTGTAAAAATGTGCACACCATTGTTTGCAGGGTCTAGTTTGGATCAGAACGGCCAAGGGCTGCCACCACACACAGAACATGGGGAGTGTCAGGAAGACAGGATGGGACGGGTGGGTGTGGTGAGGACGACCCTCAGGACGGACAGGGCACCAGACTTTCGTTACCTAGTCTTTGGTATGGTGTTCACACTTCCCCTCAATTCGTCCCACCTACTCTGTGTTCACTGTTCACTGTTCACACTGTGACTTTATCCCCTACATCAAATAAATACTTTAGGTGAAACATTATACGATCAAATTGTAAAATTTGAACTTCCAAAACTATGTAACATCCAGCATCTCGGAAGCAGACTTGGGGTTCACTGACCAACGTCCCCCAACTCCACAGCGTGAGATCGGCCAGCGGGCCAGGATGCTGCTTTTAGGTTACTTTCCGGGTGACACTTTTCTAAAAAGGCATCAGTTTTAACGTTTCAAGTTTGAATCTCACACTGAAATGTCTTCCTTATGGACCATTAAGGCTATAATGTCAACTAGGTTATTCCTAGAAATAGAAACGCCAGTGCAGGAAAGTGACAGAACTTGAACTCAGCAGCCTCCTGATGGTCTACCCACTGGACAGCACGCACAGGCAGAGGCCGAACAGAAAGCTCAGCGAGAGCTTTGGTCAGAGCTACCAGGGCGGTGGCCGCCTAGAGTGGCGATATTGCTTTTTAGAACCCACAGGCCATCTCGGGGGCAGACCCGCGCGGGCCTGTATAGATTTTGGAAGATGAACACTGCCCCTTGAGGCCACCTCTCTGTGAGGGCGCTGAAAGAGACCACCACCCTTCCCCTAGCCCCCACGAAATAGAGAGTAAACTGACACGCCTCACCCTGGGAGGCAAAGATAAATATCTCAAAACTGGTACTGGGAAAGCTTCGATGGACAGTACCGCCCGTTCCTCCTACGCGAGTACTCTTCTCTCCAAGGGAACGGGAAAGGGAGAGACATGGGAACACACACAGAGTCCAGAACACAGGGGTCACATCTCCGTCAGAGAAACAAACTTTGAATCAGACGCAACCCTAAGAATCAGCTTCAGTATGTGGAGGGTTCTGAACAAAAGCAACAGCACAGCAGGCGACTCGATGGGGGATGGATGCACGATTACTCCGGTGTCTGTGCCGCAAGCGGAGTATCAGCGGGCTCTGGAGAAGGAAGCGGCGGCCAGACCATCGGTTCCGCAGGGAGAGTCACGTCTGTGCTTCCAGGACGGTGTGGGGGTGACTGCCTCCCGCTCAGAGCTGGAGCCCATCTCCGAGCAGGCGTCCTCCTTGGGGATGCGTGTGGCGGAGATGACGGAGGGCGCAGACAGAGACCTGACCTGGGACGGATGTAGCAGGCCCTGTGCACGCCTTCTTTTTAGCAGCCCAACGAAATGCCCGAGGCCACCAGGCCTGTGGGAAATGACAACGCAGACCGCCAGCCTCCACACTCCAGACGGGTCCTGTGCCCCTTCTTCCTCCTCTGGGGGCAGAGGAACAGCACCGGCGTGCGCGGCGCACACCCGCGTGCGGTTCTTAAAGGCTTGAACTGGTGATCTGTTCGCCACCTGCCTCCCTGCAGGGGGCATGGCAGCAGGGTTTCCCGCTGGGATGGTGACAGGTGTCTGAGACACAGACCCTGGGAGGGAGGACCGAGCACTCCTTGCTCTCTGGGCACGTTAGCGTCACCTGTGTGGGGCAGATGGCCGAGGTGTGGGGGCTGTGCAGAGAGACGAAACGGCTGACTTCAAAGAGGTCCTGACTCTGGGTGGGCATGTCCTGTCGGGAAACAGAGAAGACAGAGTCAGGCCCCTCCGCAAGAATCCCACCCACGATGATCCCATGCAGTCACTGCATCGTCCTGGTCGGGGGCTCCTGCTGCAGGACACCGGTCAGCCGGCGTCCATCCAGGTGAACCGCGACAGAGGCAGCGGTGACCCTCGGTCTGGCTACGAACTCCCCTGCTGTCCCATCGCTGGGTAAAGACAATGTTGATAAAGGCCCCAGGGACCAGGTCTGAGTCCTTTAATGTCAGAGTGCCACGCCACCCCTCGGAGATGGGGCCCACGTCATCCTGACTGGCCGGCTCGCTGGCTCCCGCCTACGCTTATCTCTAGTCACACAAATGGGGCTGTGCTGTTTCTTAACAGCCCAGGGAGACCTGCGACTCATCCTAGACACCTTTACATTGAGCAGGCAGGGAGTGAGGGGCAGCTAGCAAGAAGAAATCTATTTTAAAAAAATATATTTTTATTGATTTCAGAGAGGAAGGGAGAGGGAGAGAGAGACACATCAATGATGAAAGAGAATCATTGATTGGCTGCCTCCTGCATGCCCCACAGTGGGGATTGAGCCCGCAACCCAGGCATGTACCCTGACGGGGAATCGACCTCTGACCTCCTGGTTCACAGGTCGATGTTCAATCACTGAGTGCCGGCCGGGCGAGAAGAAATCTGTTTTAAAGGAATGAGCATTCCCAGTGTGCCTGCTTTGGGGTAGAGGAGGGGGTTGTCAAATCTGAAGAACCTAGCTCAGTGTGAACACGGCTGCGTTTCCTCTCCTTGTATTTTGGGCCCAGACACAACACCAGCTTCAGCTGACAGACAACAGTGCATCCGTGCCAGACCTGCCTGGGCTACCGTCCAGCACTCCTTTTTTATTTCCAGAGAGGGCCTTTCCTGATTGACCTGTGAAGGGAAGCCGTTTCCACCACCAGGGAAGAGGAATGAGATTGTTCTGGCACACCGAGCACCGAGCACACCACGCAGGGACCTCACGCAACGGCACGTGGAACCACGTTCACCACGGCGTGTGGATGTGCACGTCGGGGATGTGTGCACATCCACGTGTGTACACGACACTCAACCATATGCAGTCCAGCCACTCTCAGGCAGGTCACTTACCTGGGACAGAAATACACGTGTGTGTGTAAAAATGATTTCCTTTTTTTGTTTGTTTTAAATGAATCTTTGTTATCAAAACGGCACAGCACAGCAAAACTTTGGAGGAAAAACAGACAGTTTGAAAGAGCACAGCACACCCAGGGGGCCTGCCAGGCAGCATGGTGGACGCCGTTACCTATCCGTGGGCTAATCACGCCTCGGCCCCGGCAAGACGTCCGTCAGCAGTGGCCTGTCCGGGCTCAGCGCGGCATCGACCGCTGTTTTGGGTTTCGAGCTCTTCTGCAAGGCGAGGAAAGACACTGAGATGGCTGCCACACGGGGAACCAAGGGAGCTCTCTGAGCCGCTGAGGGCAGAATCCGGCCGTGCAGCTGGGGTGGGGCCAGTGCCCACGAGGGCCGCTCACTAGGCCCCTCTGTGTGCATGGGGTATGTTGGCTTCACCTGGAAGTCTGTGTAAAACCCGGGGCAGATGGGCACGGGGCCGGCAGTGTGGGCATTCCCAGGGGCTCTGCTGGGGGAAAGAGGAGGTCTTCCTAACGGGAGGGAGCGGATGCAGAGAGGATGGGCCACGCGGGACAGCAGGGTCTCAGCTGAAGGGCCACCTGCCGGGCCTGCTCCCAACCCAGCAAAGGCCAGCCTCTGTCGCGAGCACAGGAAATGCTTCCAGAACCAAAAATCCTGCCACACTCAGCTGAAGGCTTCTCAAGTGCCATTTACTAGACAGCTTCCCCCCCCAAGAAAAAGAGCACCAAGGTTCCCTGAGGGGGGGATCTGTGTGCCTGTCATCCTTGTCCTTCTGCCTGTCTTCCTGTCTGCCCCATCCTTCTGTCCTCCCATCTCTCCTTTTCCTTCTGATCCTCAGCCCTGTCTCTAGTCAATAGAAGAGTCCTGCCCACGGCTAGGATCCTGAAAACTCAGGCTGCGGGTCAGCGGGGCTGGGAATACGAACACTAAGACTTTCCAGTCCGATCATATTAGTTCCTCAGTAATAGGAAGAAGATTTTAAAAAGTGAAGAACCACAGGTCTGAATTGCAGAATGTCTTCTGGGAAGGAGAAGAATGAGCTAAACAGGAGGTAGAGTTGTTGCCCTTTGAATTATATATAATTTAATTATATATAAAAATACAGGTAGCTAGAGATAAATATATATATATGTATAGACACACACATATATATATATATGAAACCTGGTGCCTGCGATGTTTTACTTTTTAATAGAACAGGTTAAAAGAAAAATAAATCCATCCATTTGAAGTACTATATGTTCCATATGAGAACTAGCCAAATGTTTATTCCTCCAAAGTTTTGCAACCATCTGGGTGGTTTTACAGCGACACCAGCCTCAGCTTGTGCGTGCCAGGAGCGCGCTGGCTGCAGGAACGCTGTGCGCAGGTGTGGGTGTGGGTGTGGGGACACCTGTGGTCACACCCCGTGTGGCTAGCCACCACAGAGCACTCAGTGACAACCTGCTCCAAGCAGCCAGAGCCTGGCTTCTGCACAGGTACAGAAGCGAATCAGCTCTCACTAAACTGCAGTTAGAGCGCTCACTTTCAGCCCAGAGCTGGCATGACTGGATCCATTTCATCAGTGGCCCTGGGACTGATTAAAGTGTCCCAATAATTCCATCCTGAGCCCTTTCAGGTATGTAGACAGAAACATGAGGCTAGGTAATTAATTCTAATTCTGATGGCACCAGATTAGGAAACTTTGATTGCCAATAACCACTTGAACTAAAAAAAAAAAAAAGTGCCATCTTCTTAGTTAAAAAATAGTGTTTAAAATGTATAGAGGAGGAGCTGTTATTTAAAGAAAAAAAGAGCCTTCCCTTGCTTTAGGTATTTTCCTATTTAAACATTTTCCTAAACTGCATTAGTAAACCATAAATACCAAATGTGTGTTCAAAGTAGCACTACTTTGAGGGAACACATGAATGTGGTATTTGGGTCCATGGGCATACAGCTGGAAAACAGACATGAGTTAATGCGTTGTCCCTCAAATCTTGTCTCTGATACAAGGCTCTGATCCAAGGCGACCGCCACAGAGAAATGCTGTGTGACTGGCTCTCCATGGCTGAGAAACAGGCTACTACAACCATTGAAAGCAAAGCAGAAAGCTTTTTCTAGAAACAATCAGATTAAAACAAAATTTAAAAAAATGAATTTGGCAGAACTTTTGACTCAAAACACATTTCTCCTGGCTCTGTCCACAGCCCAGATGGCTGGCTCAAGCACGCTGCCCTGGGGAGGCCTCAGTTTCCCTGTGTGCAGAGTGGATTTAAGAGGTGAATGTGAGCGAGGAGGTCTTGCTACCCATCCTCTTTGGGCTGCAGAGAGAAGGACAGCACTGAGGAAACCTTGCTCACATTGGGGCTTGTGTGACTTAGAAACTGCCACACCCACACCTGCATGTGTAGGAAGCACGAATTTAAGGCAGCACAGCCCGACGCGCTCGGCTGGGCCTGAGTGAAGACGCAGCCGCCCCTGCAGGTGGGATAATACTTCCAATGGACGCTGAGAGAGAAACACTGGTTAGTGGTATGGATAGAAATCACAGTCCACATGACCTTCCCGTATCCAGGTACGAGTCAGTCCTGTATTTCCTGGTGTGGTGGTGGTTATCACAGACATAGGAGCCGGGAATACCAGTGTGTTCGACAGCTCTTGCTATTACAAGTCAGCCCTCTGTTGTCCTGTGACTGTAAACTCAAACATGCAAAAAGACAGAAAGCATCACCTTGTTCCGTCAGAAACTCAGGCTGCTGGAAGTCTGAGAAAGCATAAAGATGGTGGACTGCTCGACAGAAAGGCACTGGTTCTTAGTCTGGCAGTCCCAGGAGGTTCAGGAGGGGCCGCACACATCATTAGATAAGGTAGCAGTGTTATTTAGCCACAGAGGTCAGAAGACAGAAGGGAATGAGGAAAGGGAGAGAGAAACAAGAACAACAGTGAGTCTGATTAAATGCCAACAATGTCCCACATACACCAATGCAGCGTGCTAAGCAACCGGACAATGTGGGCCACGTTCCTAACAGTCCTGCCCCCCCCCCAGCCCCCACCGTGTCCGGGGACA